CGGCGCTCAGCAATCCCATTTTGCTGCGGAGAGTCCGGAAGCGTGAAGGTCTGTCGGATGCCCCGTGCGCGACAGTAGGCTCTCAGAAGGCCAGAGGAAAACTCTCCGCCTCTGTCCGAGTGCAGACGCAGAACAGGAAAGTCCGAGCCAAAGCTCTGCCTGAGCTGGACACGAGCTGCGCAGATCTAGTCGATCAGCACCTCAGTGACATCACCCTTGCTGCGCAAGGGGAAGACTGCGGTGTAACGCGAGTAGTCGTCAACAACTAGCAGGAAGTAGCGCTCCTGACCCTGTCCACGGACGCGGGCTGGGCGCGACACGTCCATGTGAATCGTCTGCAACGGGGCCTCTGTCGGAGGAAACTGGGAGGAGTGAGGGGCAGCACGCTGGCGCCCCTCGACACAGGGGACACAGGTAGGGCCAGGGCCCTGAGGAAGGGGAGGGAGGGACCGGGGGAGACCAGAAACAAGAAGACGAGAGGCCATGCCTCTGAGCCGAAGCAGAGAGGGGTGACCAAGGCGGTGGTGCCAGAGGAGAGTCTCGTGAGACAGGAGACGACACGAACAGGGGGCAGACTCAGGACCAGACCTGGACGCTGCAGCAAACACCTGACCCGACGCAGCTACCCTACCAGACTCAGTAACTGGAGGAGACGCAGTGGTCAGTGTGTACAGGCTCGACCCTGGCCGACGAGTAAACGTGGCCAGGTGTCGGCCTGTCCGAGCGTCTGTGCAGTGGGTCACCCGCTGACTCGCAGGAGTGAACTGGTGAACCCCCGCATCCTGCAGGTCAGCACCACTCACCAAGTTCGTAGAGAACGAGGGGAGGTAAAGACCAGACAGGGTGCCAGAGGGGGCCGCCGGACACGGGAGGACAGTTGAGAAGTGAGCAAGGACAGGGCCCCCAGAGGGGTCTGCAAGAGAGACTGCAACTGGCCGACCAAGCGGCGTGAGGGTGGTGCGGTCTCGAAAGAAAGAGCGGGAAGCCCCTGAGTCAAGGGTGAAGGTGTGAGAGGCCGGAGCCGACGCGGTACCTGAGAGAGCAGACTCACCCGCACCTGAGGAAGCGGACTCACTAGCACCTAGAGCAGCAGCCGCACCTGTACCTGGAGCAGGAGACACACTAGCACCAAGAGCAGCAGCCGCACCAGCAGCTAGAGCAGCAGGCTCTATACCCGGGTCAGGCGGTACGCACAGGTGACCGTCACGGTCAGCACTAGTAGGCAATGCATACATGGCAGTGAGAATAGCATCATAGTCAAGAGCAAATATATCTACCCTCTGTCTAAGCAACTCCACCCAGTCGGGGAGCTCAGCCTCGTCGCCAAACTCGGTACGCCAGGCGTCGTTCAGACGGGCGAAGCATCGGGACGGTGTATGACTAGGCGTCCCACAAGGCTGACCAGTCCGAGCACCAGTGCGAATCACGTAAGAGCAGCGAGCAGAACTGAGAGACCCTCTACTCTGAGCGTACCACTCACGAAGCTGCTGGGGCGTGAGAGACGCGCGAGGGCGTCGCTGGAGCTGCATCTGGCCGCCGCCAGTAGAAGCAGGAGCAGGAGTAGCAGCAGTAAGGCAGGCAGCCAAGCAAGCTGCAGGCAGCGCGCTAGTAAGGCAGGGGCTCACCAGTGGTGGGAAGAGCAGGCTCGACGACTCGGCGACTCGGCGGCACGGCGGCACTGCAGTAGCTGTGGCTCGGCGGCTCGGGCGACCCGGGCGGCTCGGCTGCTCGGGCGACTCGGGCGGCTCGGCAGCTCGGCTGCTCGGGTGGCTCGGGCGGCTCGGGTGGCTCGGGCGGCTCGGGCGGCTCGGCTGCTCTGCGGCTCGGCTGCTGGGCTGCTCAGCGGCTCGGCTACGGCTTGGCTGCTGGGCTGCTCGGCGGCTCGATGGGGGGGGCGGCTCGGCAATGCAGCAGGCGACAGGCCGGGGCAGCTGCGCGGGGCCGGGACGGGCGGTGCACAGGCGGCGTGGGGCCGGGACGGCGGCGCGCTGCCGGAACGGGCGGCGTGGGGCCGGAACGGGCGGCGCACGGGCGGACTGGGGGCCGGGACGACGGCGCAGGGCCGGGACGGGCGGCGCACGGGCGGCGTGGGGCCGGGACGGGCGGCTCACGGGCGTCGACGGGCTGGAGCAGCGGCGCGCGGTCGGGAAGGGCGGCGCGCGGGCGGCTAAGGGCCGGGACGGGCGGCGCGCGGGCGGCTAGGGGCCAGGATGGGCGGCGCGCGGGCGTCTAAGGGCCGGGACGGGCGGCTAAGGGCCGGGACGGGCGGCGCGCGGGCGTCTAAGGGCCGGGACGGGCGGCGCGCGGGCGTCTAAGGGCGGGGACGGGCGGCGCACGTACGGTTAGGGGCCGGGACGGGCGGCGCGCGGGCGGCTAGGGGCCGGGACGGGCGGTGCGCTAGAAAAGAAAGAGGCCGCGCGCCCCTAGGCGCGCGCCAAAGTGCAAATCGCCGCGCGCCGTAGGCAGTAGTACCCACAGGCCGAGAGCGTAACCGCTCTGAAACCATGTGAGAGAAACTAGAACGAGAATGAATGAACTATGAATGAAGTGAGTACATATAGGAAACTCTGATTGGGTTGTACCCCCTATGGGATACCCCACTATAGCCTACACAAATATATAAGCTATAATGTTCTGACACTGGCGCCATGGCGACGGATTTCGTGGTGCTCGATCTGAAGCCATGGCGACGGATTTCGTGGCGCCAGATTTTTTGGCGCCAGACCCGGCGCCATGGCGACGGATTTGGTGGCGCCAGTTCTGGCGCCATGGCGACGGATTTCGTGGCGCCAGATCTGGCGCCATGGCGACGGATTTCGTGGCGCTAGATCTGGCGCCATGGCGACGGATTTCGTGGCGCTAGATCTGGCGCCATGGCGACGGATTTCGTGGCGCCTGTTCTGGCGCCATGGCGACGGATTTCGTGGCGCTAGATCTGGCGCCATGGCGACGGATTTCGTGGTGCCAGAACTGGCGCCATGGCGACGGATTTCGTGGCGCCTCATCTGGCGCCATGGCGACGGATTTCGTGGCGCCAGATCTGGCGCCATGGCGACGGATTTTGTTGAACAAGATTTGGCTGAATCCGTAGTCCACATTGCCACTTACACTAAGTTGCTCACCTGTACTGGAAGTCTCTTGTCTCCACTAAGGTAGCAGCGGAGGCGAAACCCTAAGCTAAGTGCAATAGATTTCTCCCCTCACTCTTGTAGGAAAATGGTTGGACTTCGCGCTTTCCTACGGTTGGAACAGTGCAACTCGAAAAAGACAAACAGAACAAACGCGCTAACAGTCCCTCAATCGTAACAGTGAGAGGTCGTAAGGGGGAGAATTTCAACTTTCTGGCGGGCGTTTCTTTCAGTGACTATTCGTGATAGCCTCGTGGGGCGACGAGTGACCATCCGTGATAACCAGTGACCATCCGTGATAGAATCGCCTGTTTCAATGACCGTTCGTGATAACCCCAAGACCATTCGTGATAGCGCGTTCTGTTTAGTGACCATTCGTATAATAACCCAATCTGAAACGTAGGGTAGCAAGATACAAGATAACACAAGGTCGAAGGCGAAATTGTTACAGGCGAAGTTCCCGAATTACTTCGTTTGTCCTCGAAGTAATCCATGCTGTTGGCTTTCTCCCGCGCCGAACTTCCAGTGCTATCAGTTTTCATACCTTTCATGTTTTTTACCGAAAAGCACCAGCCAGAACCGTGGTACGTGGTTTGTGAAAAGTAAGTTTCACCACGCGGCACACCCTCGGGAAATGGCAGCAATGTGACGTACTGGTTCAGTAAGGTACTTTACGATTCGCAGCGGTTCGTAGCGTTTCAGTTGCGTGACGACGAACTAGAAATCACGTTTGTCCCTTCTCTGATGACAAACCTGTTCAGGAAGTTCCCCAAGGTAGCATCAGAATAAGAGATCGCAAAGAACCGTAGTGAAACGCTCGAAAATGTCCAAAACCCGCTTATTGAGTTTTTGAGTGTGGATGCTGACGGGTCCTGAAAAAATCGTTCACTGTTCACACCTGAAATTCAAAGGCGGTGAGTGGCGGTTTCGAAATGGTGAAAACGCACATCACCGCCCTTAATTGCATATTATCGCTGTAAAACGTTTAGGCTTAACAGAAGGTTAAAATTTAGGGACCAGTCCTTCGGAACTGGTGTTTTCGCTTATGGACGTCTGAAGTATATTGAGTTGACTATGTGCGGCAGTAAGTCTAGTTGACTAGTATGTTGCTGCACCATTCGGTCAATGTTGGTGAATCAGAGACGCACCTGTGGTTCTCGGAACTCGTTTGTATACGTGCCTACTAAACATTCTCTCTTTCTCTCTCTTCTCGTCCCTCTCCGCCAGCGAATTCTCGACTATTTGGTACGACCCCGTTGCCACATTAAGCTTTTCTTTCTGACACATATCAGAACGCGATGGCTCATGTGGTAAAGTGAACTCGTTACTATCTGAAGCCCTATCGGTAAGCGACTCGGCACCATGCCGCCTTCTTTCGAGTCGACGCAGCGGCTACCACACGCATTGCTACCAGCCATCGAGTCGGCGCAAAGGTTACGCGCAGTGCTACCGCGTAACATTCATCGCGCGATCTCCTCGCTTTACAACGTCAAGCGCGTTCCGCGGCTCTCGGGAGTGTTTCTAATCGCACTCGTTTCCCTAGTCTCCTTCATCTCCTTCTCCCTCTGGCAATCCAAGTGCTGCCGCTGCCTACACGGCAGCAAAGAGCAAACCCGCAGGAGAGGAATCAGCACCAGTAGCAGCAGCAGCAGCGGCGGCGGCAGCGGCGGCGACGGCAGGGTTGGGTTCGATGGTTCAGGCGACATCGTCATCAGTAGCAACGTCGCGTCGGGTCGCGCGCTGCGTAATTCCAGCACCGACGACGATCGACGGCCGTTCATCTACGTGTACGATCTGGGCCCGGCTTATACGGACAAGATTCTCCAGCTGGAGCCCGCGTGGTACTCGCAGCAGTACGATGTCGAGAAGCATATGACGGAGCTGCTTATAGCGAGTAACGCCGTGCGCACCGTGGATCCGTACGAGGCGTCGCTCTTCTTCGTGCCGTTCTTCTCGGCGCGACTCACGCTGTACCATTTCAAGGACTGGGAGAACAACATGCGCGGCGCCGTGGAGGAGGCATCCAAGGTGCGCGGGTGAGGGGGGTGGGAGGAGTGGAAAGCAGGTACGACTGTGTGCAATGAAAGCGGCGCGCTGTACCACTTCAAGGACTGGGAGAACAACACGCGCGGCGCTGTGGAGGAGGCATCCAAGGTGCGCGGGTGAGGGGGGTGGGAGGAGTGGAAAGCAGGTACGACTGTGTGCAATGAAAGCGGCGCGCTGTACCACTTCAAGGACCGGGAGAACAACATGCGCGGCGCCGTGGAAGAGGCATCCAAGGTGCGCGAGTGAGGGGGAGCGAGGGGAGGGGGGGGAGAAAGGGGGGCAGGGTGGGGGAGGGGACGAGTGGGGAAGGGAGGAAGGGGGAGGGAGAGGGGGACTGGGTGGAGAGCGGAACGGAAGGAGGGACGGGATTGGATGAGGGGGAAAGTGGAGGATGGGTGGGGATGGAGGGAGGGGGAAAGGGGAGTTTCGAGGGGATGCGCGATGAAGGTAGCCATTCGACGCAGTTTGAGGTGCCTCAAAAGACGTCTCAGGTTGCACTCTGAAATTCTGAAGTTTGAGTCATGCACCATTCAACTCTTGGAACCCGTAAACTCTTAGAATTTCTCTAACTCATACCTCAACCCTTGAACCATGTTGGCTCGGCAGGTGTGGACAGAAATCCTCACAACGTGTTTTGGAATCCTTGAAACCCCTTGCCCCTGTTGGCTCTGCTCTGCAGGTGTGGACAGAAATCTTCACAACAGTGCGCCGGAACTACCCCTTCTTCAACCGCACCAACGGCCGAGATCACTTCAGCATCCTCACGCTCGATCACGGCCGTTGCCACTCGCTCACGTTCGTGGACCCGGGCCTCGTGGGCGAGATGTTCTTTGTGACTTATAACGGGGACAAACTCGTTAGGAGTGTACACGCAAGCAAGGAGCGCAACATGCAGGTGAGGCGAGATGTTCTTTGTGACTTAATAACGGGGACAAACTCGTTAGGAGTGTGCACGCGAGCAAGGAGCGCAACATGCAGTTGAGAGCAGTGGAGCCAGTCTTTCCCTCCACCCCACCCCATCCCACCTCACCCCACCTTACCCCACCCCACCCCACCCCACCCCACCCTGTTGCACCAACCCCCACTTCCTTTCCCCATTCCCTACCCCCTCTTCTTCCACCCCCTGCCCCTCGCGTCCCTTGCCATGTGTTGGGGTGAAGGGGCCTCTCCTTCCTGTCCTCCTTATCCCCCACCCCTTTCTCCCCTCCTCACCCCCTCCCCTTCCTCCGCTCCCTACCCCCTCACGGCCCTCCCATTCCTCCCAACGCCTCCTGATCCCTTCTGACCCCTCCCGATCAGCCCCGACCCCTCCCGACCCCGCCCGATCCATCCCAACCCCTCTCCATGTGACATTGTCGTGCCCGTGCTTGTTTCCAAGGGGCTGCCACTGGTGGCACCTCTTTGCAAGCCCTCTTCCTCTTCCCTCCCTCTCCATCCTTCTCCCCCCCCCCCCTCCCTACTCCTCCCGCCCCCCAGGCCATAACATACAACTACAAGATCCCAGTGGACCCATCACTACCAGACATCCCCTGCTACCTGCCCGATCGAGACATTGTCGTGCCCGTGCTTGTTGCCAAGGGGCTGCCACTGGTGGCGCCGTGGGAGGGTGAGAGGGATCGCGCTGTGCTGTTCCGGTTTGGAGCAGGGCAGCACCATGGCGTGCCGATATGGCATCACGGGCACCAGATTCGGAAAGAGTTGCTGGAGGTGAGGTGCGGTTGAGTGTGGTTGCGCTGTGTGGGAGATGAGCTGACTTGTTTTCTTTCTGGTGGCGCCGTGGGAGGGTGAGAGGGATCGCGCTGTGCTGTTCCGGTTTGGAGCAGGGCAGCACCATGGCGTGCCGATATGGCATCACAGCCACCAGATTCGCAAGGAGTTGCTGGAGGTGAGGTGCGGTTGGAATGGGAGGTGGGATGGCTTGATGGTGGGTCCTGCGCTCTTGGTTTCCCCGTGGGAGGGGAGAAGGTGAGTGGGAGGGGAGAAGGTGAGTGGGAGGGGAGAAGGTGAGTGGGGGGGGAGAAGGTGAGTGGCAGGGGAGAAGGGGGTGAGTGTGAGGTGAGATGGGGGTGAGTAGGAGGTGGGCTAGGTTCGCCCCTCTTGGCAACTTCCGCTGATTCAAAGTTGACCTAGTCTGATCACACACCGCTGACATAGTCTGATTTGGGTTTTTGAGTCGACTAAAAAATCGACTTATCACACACCGCTGACCTAGTCTGATCACACACCGCTGACCTAGTCTGATTTGGCACCAAGGCCTTCAGATCCGCACGGAGTGATTGGAGGTGGTCTGGAGGTGAATTGGAGGTGAATTGGAGGTGAATTGGAGGTGAATTGGAGGTGAATTGGAGGTGAGTTGGAGGTGAATTGGAGGTGAATTGGAGGTGAGTTGGAGGTGAGTTGGAGGTGAATTGGAGGTGAGTTGGAGGTGAATTGGAGGTGCGTTGGAGGTGAATTGGAGATGAGTTGGAGGTGAGTTGGCAGCGCTGTGCTGTTCTGGTTCGGTGCGGGCAGGCAAGAGTAGGGGTGGTGGGACCTTGCAGCAAAGGGCAAAGGGGAAAGGGCAAAGGGCAAAGGGGAAAGGGCAAAGGGCAAAGGGCAAAGGGCAAAGGGCAAAGGGCAAAGGGCAAAGGGCAAAGGGGAAAGGGCAAAGGGCAAAGGGCAAAGGGGAAAGGGCAAAGGGCAAAGGGGAAAGGGGAAAGGGGAAAGGGCAAAGGGCAAAGGGCAAAGGGGAAAGGGCAAAGGGGAAAGGGCGAAGGGCAAAGGGGAAAGGGCAAAGGGCAAAGGGCAAAGGGGAAAGGGGAAAGGGGAAATACACCCTGACCGACTCTCCTTTTTCTCTCCTCTCTCCATTCTTGCACCCACTCTCCCGCCCCTTCCGTCCCTCTTGCTCAGCTGTAACACGTAGGCAGGGTACAAGGGGTAAGACTTTGCGGAGAAGGGCGAGGGAAAGGGCATAACCTGATTGTCAGCAGGCCAGCCTACCTGCTGGCTTCTGTCTTAGGCTAGTCGTCTAGTTTTGATGCGCCTCAAAACAGGCCAGCCTACCTGCTGGCTTCTGTCTTAGGCTAGTTCTCTCTTTTCTCTTTCCTATCTCCATACCCTCCCCCAACCCCCCTGTTTTCCACATTCCCTTTGTCGGAGTGTGTGACCCTCACCAGCACTTGCTCTTCTTCCTGTTGTTCTTCTTCAACACTCCCTGCTCTGTGCTGCCCTGCCTCAGTCACTCACGTGAACGGGATCACTCCCTCACCCCACCGGTTCCTTCTTAGTGCTGTGCCACCGCGTGTAGTAGCTAGGATAACAGCCCTGCACTAGTATGAAAGAATACTGAACAATAGGCATCGAGTGAGTGGGCGTGGGTGACCTTACCCAACCTCGGCTTGCACATTTCCAATGTGCGGCTCGAGGTTGGGATCTGTTCGAATCCCACATTTCGCCCTTCGGTGCTTTTCCCCCTTCATCCCAACCGCTCCCACATATTTCCCCCTTTCTGCACCCCTTTGCAACCGACACTTCGCTACTTGGCTACACCTCCTACACTACTTCTTATCTATCTACCTCAATGCATTCTTAGCTATTTGCTATACTACTTCACAGCACCGCACTCTACTGTTATTGCATATGCATCCCTTGCATATGCGGTGACAGCTGTCGGAGTGTGTGACCCTCACCAGCACTTGCTCTTCTTCCTGTTGTTCTTCTTCAACACTCCCTGCTCTGTGCTGCCCTGCCTCAGTCACTCACTGCCCCCTCCTGTGCCCGCGCTTGGGTAGCTCGAGCTCGTGTCACAGGACCAGCTTGCTGAAGCTTGCTCCCCCTCACCAGGGCCGTGTTGGTCTGGTGCTCCTTCAGCTGTGCCCCCTTTTCGTTCTCCAGCACGAGACTACCCGAGGGCCGAACTTCCTTCACTCTCCACCTCTCGGTCCCCACCCCGACGTCCAGCGTGTCCTGTTTTGCCCTTTTCAGGTACACCTCCTGCCCCTCACTTGCTCCCTTTTTCTCTCTCCTTCCCAACATCCCCTGCTGCTGGCGTTGCTCATAACGTCTGGCGTCTCTCAGCTGTGCCGTGTGTAGGTTTTCTAGCGCTGCTGGCATTATCACTCGGAGGTACCTTGCTCTGGCCTCTGACAAGGCCACCCAGTTGTCTATGGTGCCTGCTGTCACTGTGTCCGTGAGGACCCGTGGTGCCCCCACAGGTAGCACCGGCTCACAACCAAACAGAAGGCTGTAGGGTGAATGGTCTCTCAGGGCTGCCTGCTTCCCAAACCTATATCCTGCCGCAATCCAGTGTAGCTCATTGTCCCATTCCCGCTTCCTTTTTTCCCCATATGCCCGTAGCCCTCGCTTCAACGTCTGCACTAGGCGCTCGGTCAGCCCATCACTCTGTGGGTGATACCGAGAGGTGCGCCTGTGGGTGATTCCCGCTTCCTCTAACAGCTCCCTGAACTCCCTTTGAAACTCTGTGCCTTGATCGGTGAGCACCTCTGCACACGCCCCAAATCTGCATATTACTTGCTCCTTGAATGCTGCTGCCACATGTCTTGAGCTCTTGCTGGGGATAGCCCTCACCTCCAGCCACTTGCTCACGTGCTCCACCATGAGCACTATGTACCGTTTCCCCCCCCGGCTCAGCGGCAGTTCCCCCGCCAGGTCCAAGGACCATCTGAAGCCTAACCCGCGGATGGGCAGGGACTGCAGCTCGGCCTTGGCTTGGGTCAGGTTTGCTCGGCTCCTTTGGCAGGCCTCACATCCCTCCACCCACTTCTGCACCTGCCTGCGCATTCCCTCCCACCACCAGCCCGTCTTCAACAACTGCACTGTCCTCTCATGCCCGAAGTGCCCAGCTTTGAGTGCACCTCCTTTATCACTGCTTCCCTGTCACCTGGGGCCGGCACCAGCTTCCACCCACCCTCGGTCTGTATCTGCAACTGCTGCTGGTACCACCTGTAGTGGTGCCCCCTTGCTCTCACCCTCTCGCTCATCTCCTCGTCTGCCCCTGTCTCTCCCTTCACCCATCTCACAGCCTGCTCATCCTCCCAGATATTAGCCGGCCCCTTGCTCCTCCTGGCCCCGCTCAGCTCCACCTGTCTGGCCAGCAGCGCAAGGGTCACTGTTGGCTCTAGCGGTGGGGGGTTACGGGAGAGGCCGTCCACATGCTGCAAGGTTTTTCCTGGCCTGTGCTTGATTTTGAAGTCATACTCCTGCAGCTTCATTGCCCATCGTGCATTCCTGCCTGTTAACCCTGGTGTAGTCATCAGCCATGTCAGTGGCTGGTGGTCCGTCACCAGGGTGAACTCCCGCCCCTGCAAGTAGACCCTGAAGTGCCCCACAGCCCATACTGCCGCCAGTCCCTCCCCTGTGTACGAGCTGTACTGTGCCTCCGCCGAGTTGCAGCTCCTACTCGCGTAGGCCACCACCTTCTCATCCCCTTCCACCTCCTGGCAGAGTATCCCGCCCATCCCTTGGCTGCTCCAGTCGGTGTAGAGGGTGAAGGGTTGGTCCGCTGCTGGCAGCTGCAAGACGGTTGCTGTTTTCACCGCCGCCATCAGGTCCTGCAATGCCCCCTTCTGCGCTTCCCCCCACTCCCATGTCTTGTCCTCCCTTAACAGTCCGTTCAACACCGCTGCCCGCCTGCTGAAGTTGGGCACAAATCGCCGGTAGTAACTCAGAAACCCCAACACCGCTCTCAGCCCTGTCTTGTCCTTTGGTTCTCGTAGCCTATCCAGCACCTCCACCTTTGCTTGCTGGATCCCGATCTGCCCCCCTGTCACCTCGTAGCCCAGATACTGAACGGTCTGCTCACCCCACCTACACTTCTTCGGGTGACACGTGAGTCCCGCTGCTTCTATTGCTGCCAGTGTCTTCTCCACATCCTGCAGGTGCTGCTGTTCGGAGGTGCTGAAGATCACCACGTCATCTATGTAGCACGCTGCACATTCTACGTCCCTCAGCACTGCATCCATGACTCTCTGAAACACTGCTGATGCGTTCCTCAGCCCGAATGGCATGTAAAGCCACTCGTACAGCCCATCCGGCCCGTGAAATGCCGTCTTCCTAACGTCCTCCTCCCTGATTTTTATCTGATTGAACCCCTGCCGCAGGTCCAGCGTCGTGAAGAACACCCCCTCTGCTAACTTGTCAAATATCTCCTCCGCCATCGGCATTGGGTACCTGTCCGCCACGGTAATCTTGTTGAGCGCTCGGTAATCTCCGCACATCCTCCTGCTCAGGATCTCCCCTGTTAAGTCCTTCCTCGCTGCCACCACTGTTGGTGTGGCGTATTCTGATTCTGAGCGCCGGATCAGTCCGGCCGCTAGCAGCTCCTTAATCTTCTCCTTGCATATCTCTTCATCTCCGTGCGGCATCTTCCTACGCCGTTGGAACACCGGCTCTGTGCTGCTCAGTTTCAGCTCCATCTCCTTCATTTTGCACCTTCCCAGTTCTTGCAGTGTGAAGGCAAAGCACTTCCTATGCTTGGCCAGCAGTCCCAGCATAGCTTCCCTTCCCTCTTCACTCATCGCTTCCCCCACTGTCCACTTCTCTCCCTCCTCCTCCTGGCAGGTCCATGCTCCTTGTGGGGCTGCTGCTGCCGCCACCTTATCTGCCTCTTGCCCCCCACCCAAGACCATCTCTCGCCACATCCTCTGCACCAGCCACCTCATCATGTAGCCATCCATGGCATTCCCCATTGCCCTCCTCCTGTCTTCCTCGCTCACCCCTGGTGCTGCCGTCACGTTTTCTCCATATCCCATAGCCAGCTCCCTCTCTAATGCCGTCGGTTCCTCCCACCGTCCCCGCTTGTGGTCATATATCAGCCCGGGTCCGGGCTCCCCCTTTTCCCACATGTAGCCTGCTGCCTCTGCAAAAGCGACCAAGGTGGGCGGAGCCCTCCTGTCCTGCCCCACCTGGTTGCACGGGTAGTGCCTGCTGTAACTTCTTTGACAAACTGGCGCGGGAGTCCGTCCCGGCTCCAGGATGTCCACCACCCTCCTCCCTGTAGCCCTCCTCATCCCCTCTGCTTCCTCCTGCAGATCCAGCACGGGAACCACGTTTTGCCAGTACATCCTGAGGCGGTGAGCGTACGACCCTGCCCTGGCTGCATCACAGCTCATCCCTTCTCCCACGTGCCGGCCAATCCTCTCCCTCACCAGCCGAATCGGCTCTCTACAATCCCCTTCTAGATCCAGATTCTCTAGCAAGTAAGCCACTCTGCCCTGCCTCTCCTGCAGCCACTCCAGGATATTGAACAGGTTGTCCATCAGCTTCGTCCTCGGGTCTTCCCCTCCCTTCCCTTTTCCTGCCCATGACACCCCTTGACACTCCCATCCCGCCACCAGCAGGTCCACCTGCCCCCAGCTGGCCACCTGCTCCTCTGTGATCTGACTCACATCGTGCACCGTACTGCTCATGGCTTCCTGAATTACTTTCTCACTCAGGAGGTCCGGGAACTCAGCTCTCAGCTTCCGCGCGTGATGCTCAGCCATCCTTCTCACCTGTGGTGCCAGTTCCACATAGACCCACTGCTGCACTGCAATCCCACTCCTCACTGCTGCCGCCAGCCCTGCCCCGATTCCTCCGAACAACTCTACTAGCCGGATGGGCTGCTGCCAATCGCTATGCTGCCCCGGCTTGTCCATCAGTTTCATCCTGGGCCCCTCCTTGGTCTCTGCTGCTCCTCTCTGCCCCCTTTGTGCCCCTCCTGCTCCGACCTGATAGGCCCGCTTCGGCTCCACCCTTACAAACTGCACTGGCAGCTGCCCCAATGGTCCCTCCTTCCAGTATCTCGTTCGGAACTCCACCTTCTCCATCCAGGTACATATGCTCATGCCTACAGCGAACACCAATTCCGTCCACATCAGCAGATCAAAGTCCTCGGACTCCGAGATTCCACACTTCATCCTGATCCTTGTTTCATGCTCCCCTCCTGGCAGCAGTGTCAACTCTATGGGGGTCCGTGTGCACGGCATCCACTTTGGTTCCCCTCCCTCTGCTGTCATGACTAACATCCCCTTCGCCACGTGCCTCTCAGGGGCCATCAGCCCCAACCGTTCGGCCATCCCCTTACCCAGCATCACGCTCTGTGCTCCTGTGTCAATGATCGCCGTCTTTACCTTCATCCCCCCCACTTCCACCGCTCCTGCTTCCACGAGCAGCACGGAGGTCTGGCACGCGAGTCTTTCCTGCGGGTGGCGGGCTGGGGTCTTCTCTCCTCCTGGCGCGTCCGGCCTGGACCCCTGCTCACGTGGCTTCCGGCTATGCTCCTGCCTGCCATCCTTCCCCCCGCTACGCAGCCCCATCTGCTCCCTGCCTCTCCAGGCCATGAGGGCACACTGCACGTCCGGCTCCACCCCTTCTCCCTCCTCGTCCCTAGCGTACATCCCCGCCTCCGCTCCCCACCCTGACCCCATGGCCTGCAGTTGAGACTGCAGCCTGCTGATCTGCCGCTGCAGCTCCTCTGGTTTCCTCCTTGCCCCTCCCTCCCGCTGGTAACACTCCTTGGCCTCGTGCCCCTTCTTCCCGCAGATTTCACACTTCGCCGCATCCGGACATTCTCGTTTCCGGTGCCCAGGCTTCCCACATCCATCACATTTTTTGCACTCTCTGCGGAGGTGCCCCATCTGTCCACACCGGTAGCAGGTGCGCGCGTCGGCTCTCTCTTCCCCGTGTGGGTCCACCCTCCCTCGCTCCTCTGGTATCATAGCCGCCGCCCATGTCGGTCTGCGGCTCCTCTCTGTCGGCCTCGGCAGGTAGGCCTCATACCTCCTTTGTGCCAGCTCCACCCTTTCCGCCAGGTCAAACACCTCCTCTAGTGCCGCATCCGCCCCCAACTCGTACACCCTCATCCTCAGTCCCCCCCCCAGTGTTTCGTCCAGGCCTCCAAGAAACTTACTGATGAGGAGGCTGCTGTCCGAACATTTCACATCCTCCGCCAAGTTTATCAGTCGGTTGTAGTAGGTCAGTAGGGATTCTGTTCGTCCCCTCCTGAACTCCTGAAACTCCCTTATGCGCTCCGCCGTGTGTCCCGGGAATTGACGCTGAAGCCGCTCCAGAAATGCCTCGGTGGGATCCTCCCCGTACCTCCCTGCCCTCCACAGTAGCTCGTCCATCCTCATGCGGTACAGGGTCTCCGCCTCTCCCTCCTGTGTGTTGGGCAGGCTCAAGAAGAAGTCTACTGGGTCCATGCCTTGCCTGTCACAGCGGTATCTCACGTTCCCCACCTGCATCAAGTAATTCTTGAGGGCCGGCCCCACCCGTTGGTCCCCCGAGAACCTCGCCGGCACTTCCACCCGCGTCGCGCTGGCTGTACTTCCCCGCCCTTCTCCCCACGATTTCCTGGCCCCTCCCAGCCGCTCTTCCCTAGTCCTTCTCTCCTTGGCCCTCTCCATGCCTTCCCTGGCCTCTCGGGCCCGCTCAGCGCCATATGCTAAGCTCCCCCCTCCAGCTCTGCTCTCACGCCGGTTCCAGCCCGAGTCACCGTGCCTTTCTCTCGGGCCCCTCTCCTCCCCCGCACACCCTCGTGTTCGTGCCGGCGAGACTCGTGTCTCTCTCCACCTCGCCGTGCTCGTCTCTCGCTGCCGCTGCCTCTCTGGCGACGGTTCCCATGCTTCTCCCTTCCTTGCTGCCGACGATCTCCGGGCGAGCGCCTGTCTCCGCCGCCTTCTCTTCCCCGCTGCTGCCGGACGAGAGGCGAGCGGAATCCGCCGCTCACCCTCCTCTCCCATTGCGCTTGCGGGCCAGACGTCCGTGCCTCCCCGCCGCGCCCCTCTTGCCGCTGGCCGCGCCTCTCTGATGAGCTGGGCCCCTCCTCGCGTCCTTCTTCCCGCCGCCAGTGGTGGCTGGCTGCGCGTGGCTCGCCCTCCCATCCTCCCTTGTGCATCAGCTGCCTGTCCGGCGATCGTGCGCCGTCTTCGCCCCAGCCCCCTTGTGCCTGGCGCCAGTCGAGTGCGCGAGGGTTAACAGAAGGCCGCTCCCAGCGCCGCGATCCTTCCCCTGACGCGCGCGGTCCCTCTTCCTCCCTTTTGCCGCGTTCTCCTTGCGTCCCCACAGCGCCGGCATGCACGCCCCAGTCCCGCCGCTCCTGCTGACGCGACCTCTCCGCGTAATGCTCCTCCTGGCGGCTTGCGTCGCGGCCGCGTGATTCCGACCGTCCCGACCGCGATCCTTCCGCCCCTGCCTGGCTTGCGCCCCCGGCAACGTCCGCCTCTTCAGGCTCGGCGCTTCCGATCCCAGCCGCGGGTTCCTCGCCGTCATCTTCTCCGTTGGCGTCTTCGACCGCCCGTTCCAGGTTCGCTGCGTCCTCCTCTGCCTCTTCCTCGCCGGACGTCTCCCACGCTTCTTCCTTTTCTGCGGCCTCCCCTCCTTGGTTGGCGTCGAATCGCTCGACGCCCTGCCAACGGCCCCTCTCATCACGGCGGCGCCCGCGCTCTTCCGGCGAGCGGAACACTCCCACAGCGCGTCGGTCTCCGCTCCCGTATCCATCTCCGCGATCAGGCCCTCTTCGCCACACGTCTCCGTCCGCGCTTGCGGCGTATCCTTCTCCACCCGCTGCCACGCTAGGCCTCCCTTCCGCCCGTCGGTCCCCAGCGACGGGGACTCTATCTGCGCGAAATGCCGGCCTTCGCGGCGAGCGCTCCAGAGATCGCCCGCGCTCGCGTGACGGCTCACTTCGTGCTCGTTCCTCCTCCCGGCGACTAAACACCCTACCCCAACGTAGCTCATATTTATCCATGACTGCGTGTCGCATCCTATTGTTCAGTATGAACGGGATCACTCCCTCACCCCACCGGTTCCTTCTTAGTGCTGTGCCACCGCGTGTAGTAGCTAGGATAACAGCCCTGCACTAGTATGAAAGAATACTGAACAATAGGCATCGAGTGAGTGGGCGTGGGTGACCTTACCCAACCTCGGCTTGCACATTTCCAATGTGCGGCTCGAGGTTGGGATCTGTTCGAATCCCACATTTCGCCCTTCGGTGCTTTTCCCCCTTCATCCCAACCGCTCCCACATATTTCCCCCTTTCTGCACCCCTTTGCAACCGACACTTCGCTACTGGCTACACCTCCTACACTACTTCTTATCTATCTACCTCAATGCATTCTTAGCTATTTGCTATACTACTTCACAGCACCGCACTCTACTGTTATTGCATATGCATCCCTTGCATATGCGGTGACACCTTCCCGTGTCTCAGCTGTACACGCATGCAGGGTACGAGGGGTGGGACTTTGCAGAGAAGGGCGAGGCGGACACGGATGCGGATTGGCGGAGAGCTGTCTATCTATCTGCTGGCTAAAGCTTGTCCTCTCTTTCCTCTCTCCTATCTCCATACCCTCCCCCAACCTCCCTCTCCCCTCCCTTCCTTCCCTGTTGCGCAGCTGTACACGCATGCAGGGTACGAGGGGTGGGACTTTGCAGAGAAGGGCGAGGGGGACACGGATCCTGACTGGCGGAGGGCTGTCTTCTGCATCTGCCCGCCCGGCCACTCCCAGTGGACCAGCCGCCCCTTCAAGGTACGAGGCTGTGATGGTCAATCGAGTCGGTTTAGTGGGCTCCGGGCCACTCCCAGTGGACCAGCCGCCCCCTCAAGGTGGGTTTGAGTCTACTAAAAAACTCGTCTCTTTTCAGGCGGGCTGTCTTTTGCATCTGCTCGCCGGGGCACTCCCAGTGGACCAGCCGCCCCTTCAAGGTGGGAATGGCTACAGTGGTAAATCGCTACAGAAGTACACTGAGTCTCAAAAGATGCAGCCTTTTCTATCAAATCTTGCAGTCAATTTACAACTGGTTCGAAAGAACCTCTCGTTGGCTGATTTGTCATTGTCTTCGTTTTGTTTTTCTATCTTCTTTTTCTTCTCTTTCTTTTTTCGTTTATTCATATACAGGCATTGATATCCGGGTGTATCCCGGTGACATTTTTCCGAGAGCACGACAACCCGTGGCAGGACGAACTGGAATACTCCTCCTTCGCCTTTCCTTTCCCTCCCTTCTCCCGACATCCCCTCCCCCCTACCCTAGGCATTGATATCCGGGTGTATCCCGGTGACATTTTTCCGAGAGCACGACAACCCTGTTAGAATTAGGCTATCAACACTTTGTGTACTATATTCTATATCGCGTAGGTTATTTGCAGGTTGGGTGTAGTTTGTGATCCCAACCCTATCTGGTTGGGATTCCCTCGTAATCCTGCAAATCTGCCAACTCACCAATTGGAGATTTGCTAGGATCCCCATCCCATCTTTTCCCTCGCCTTGCCCATCCCAACCTCGTTTGTACTTAAGGCCTAGTGCCTTCTTTCCTAATCAATCAGTTCAGTTCCAATTCTATCAAACCCGTGGCAGGACGAACTGGAATACTCCTCCTTCGCCTTTCCTTTCCCTCCCTTCTCCCCACATCCCCTCCCCCCTACCCTAGGCATTGATATTCGGGTGTATCCCGGTGACATTTTTCCGAGAGCACGACAACCCATGGCAGGACGAACTGGAATACTCCTCCTTCGCCTTTCCTTTCCCTCCCTTCTCCCCACATCCCCTCCCCCCTACCCTAGGCATTGATATCCGGGTGTATCCCGGTCACATTTTTCCGAGAGCACGACAACCCGTGGCAGGACGAACTGGAATACTCCTCCTTCTCCATCAACATCGATCCCGACAACATATGGCAGCTCAAGGAGCGTATTGATGCAGTCAGGAACCAGCCAGAGCTGCTCCAGAGGATGCAGAAGAACGTCGTCGGGGTGCAGGTGGGTGTGTTGGGTTGGGGTGCTCTTGGTGCAGGTGGGTGTGTTGGGTTGGGGTGCTCTTGGTGCAGGTGGGTGTGTTGGGTTGGGGTGCTCTTGGTGCAGGTGGGTGTGTTGGGTTGGGGTGCTCCTGGTGCAGGTGGGTGTGTTGGGTTGGGGTGCTCCTGGTGCAGGTGGGTGTGTTGGGTTGGGGTGCTCTTGGTGCAGGTGGGTGTGTTGGGTTGGGGTGCTCTTGGTGCAGGTGGGTGTGTTGGGTTGGGGTGCTCTTGGTGCAGGTGGGTGTGTTGGGTTGGGGTGCTCTTGGTGCAGGTGGGTGTGTTGGGTTGGGTTCCCTCAGGTGGATGCAGCAGGCATGTGTTGGGGCGTGTGTTGGGTACCCTTGCTATAGTACTCCTCCATCAACATCGATCCGGACAACATCTGGCAGCTGAAAGAACGGATTGATGCAGTCAGGCACCAGCCAGAGCTGCTCCAGAGGTGGGGGTGTGGGGTTCCCTCAGGTGCTGGTGGGTGTAGTTGGGTTCCCTCAGGTGCAGTTGGGTGTTAAGTTGGAATAGAAATTGAGAATTCTAAAAAAAGAACCAGCCGGAGCTGCCCAAGAGGATGCAGAAGAATGTTGTCCAGGTGCAGGTGGGTGTGGGGGGTGGTGTGTTGGGTTTCCTTGGGTGCAGGGTGATGGTGATGTTGGGGCGTTTGTTAGGCGCAGTCAGACACCAGCCAGAGCTGATTCAGGGGATGCAGAAGAATGTCGTTTGGGTGCAGGTGGGTGTGGGTGGGGTTCGTTATGGCTTATGTTGTTTTGACATTTTGGCAGTTGCGGTGTTGTGATGTGAGCGTGTGGAGTGGAGGAACTGGAGCATAGCATGTGCTTGTGCGGTACTTGGATTTTTCATAGCAGGACTGAAATTTTTGGTTGTGTCTTCCCTGTTTCTGAAATTTGTCCCACCCTGTATACAGGAATTGTTTCGGTGGACAGGAACTCTTGATAGGTCGGCAGAGTCTATGCTTATCCGCCGGTTACGAAAAAGAGCAGCTGATCTTCGACCGTTTCAATTGCAAATGGCTCGAGAAAGAGGAATTGATGAGAAGCTTCGGATGACTGGTCTGTAGCGTGGCAATTTGTTTGCTATGTTACACGTTGCAAAATAAAGAGGTTGAATTGAAGTCCAAATGTATTGTATATGGCGTGTAGATGTACGTAAAGCAAGAGCACGAGTTTGGATGAAAATGCGGATGTTTGAGGTGGCGGCGAGAGTGAGCGCCAGGTGCTTCTCTGGCTGCTGGTTGGTGTCTTTGTCTGGCATTGTGAGGCTTCTTGTCCGGCATTGTGAGGCTTCTTGTCCGGGATTTGTGAGGGAGTAGGATTCTGGGAGATGGCGAAAGGTGTATTGTCGTGGTTTGGATTTGGGAGTGTGGCATGGCGGGCGGAGTTGCACGACAGAAGCAAGTGTTTGAACGGAACGACTGGTTTGCTCGTCACGTTACTTGTCACGTCGAGGAAAAGACAGCTCGATTATTTGTCGTGTATCTCTCGTCGTCACTCGCGGCCTCGACTTCTTGGAGATCGTTCGGTTACTGTTTTGTCCGCATGTAAATGTACAACATGTTTCGTTCATGACCATAACTGTCCAACTGTTTTCTCGGGAGTGGCTCGCAGGCTGCAGGCAGACAGCCTGTCTTGTCAAACAACCAATCCAGAGGGAGCAGCTCACGGATTGCAAGTTTTAGCGTCACGCCACGACACGACCACCACTGGCGTTGCTGAACAGTCCTGTCACGTCGCACACAGCTTTGTGCGATCACTTGCCCAGAAATTTGGGAGGCTATGAAGCTTCGATTGACGTGGCAGTTCCAGATACGGGCACTAACCTCGATGGTTACAGTGTCAGCCTTGGCTTGGACCCCGAACCCGAAGGTCTTGCTTTGGAGAGCGGCGAACTTAGAGGCCAGGTTCGTGGCTGGACCAAGGGAACTAAACTGCCAGGTTCGCAACGAAACTTTCAACCACACCTCTTCGTTTGGTGAGGGGAGAAACAAGCTTCTTCTTTGGCTGGACGAGGCAACAATACATTTTACAAAGTGGATAGAGAGGCTTGGAGTGCATTTTTGTAGGGTGGAAAGAGGCGAAGAGACGTCGGCTGGCTCCCAGAACAAGGAAACCTACAAGCAGTCGCAAGGGGGCTTCAAGCAGCAACAGCCCCGGAGAGGAGGTTAGGAGGTTGTGTGTCTTCGGGGAGGTTAGGAGTTGGGCTCGGACGAACCTATTTCCTTCACAGCGGGCGGGAGTTTCGGTGCTCTCGCGACTCGCTTTACTGCTCTCGACGGCTCTTCTCTTCACAGCGGCGTCCATCTCCTCGCCTTAGTCGTAATCTTCTGAGCACCAGCTTCCTCTCTTCTTCATAGCTATAGCGAGAGTGCGAGTCTTTGCCTTGCTGAATGTCGCTTCTGAAATGATTATCGAGTTCACTCAGAAGTCGTATCGCTTCTGAAATCTTTCAGAAAGCGAGTCGCGGATACCTGACTAGTGTCGCGTTCCCTCTTCATCATCCCTCGTCTCGTCTCGCCTCTCGCGCCCGACCCGTCGCCTGTCGCCGTCGCACACCGCACGTCGCAAGACGCACGTCGCACATCGCGCGTCGCGCGTTTCATCTCCTCCGTTTCCTTCGTCCCTCTCCCTCCCGCGCCGCTTCGCAAGCGCCATCCATACGCGATATAAACATGTTCCTCGGAATCGCGCATTCATACTCCAAGCTCAGCCTCCCCACCATGATACTCCCGCCAGGTCTTTCCAAGAAAATCACCCCCACGATAACAATGCCGCGATTAAATTCGCTAATCAAGCTCGCAGCCCTCGTTTTGTGCACCGCCGTTTGTGTCACAATTTTGAACTCCAGCGGCTGCTGGTGCTTTAACAGAGGTTCCATGAGCGGATTGAGCGGCGGTGCTAACGGTGAAGCAGCGAATGTCGTTGCTGAAAGCAGTCCGCTCTTTCGCTCGTTGCGGGACGTCAATAACGCGGATACGAACAGTGTCAGCAGCAGTGGCAGTGGTAGCGGTAGCGGGCTCCGAACCTCCCAGCTTATGGAGCCCGCGGACTCGGCTGGCTTAGGTTCGGCAGTTTCCGAACCAGGTTCTGGCGGTGGTTCGTACGATCGACCGTTCATCTATGTGTACGATTTAGGTCCGGAATACACGGAGAAGGTTCTGGAGCTGAATCCGGCGTGGTACAACCACCAGTACGACGTGGAGCGTTATATGACGGAGGTCATCCGGACTAGTAACGCCGTACGTACGGACGACCCGGAGCAAGCAACGCTGTTCCTCATCCCGTTCTTCGCGGCGCGTTACACGCTGTACTGCTTCCGGTCGTGGGAGAACAACATGCGGCAGGCGATCGAGGAAGGTTCCAGGGTACGGTCAAATTATTTCTAAGAACTCTTCGAAGATGTGAGACGTCTAGAAACTCTTAGAAGCGATACGCGCGGCAGGCGTTCGAGCGGTAGGCGGAAGGCTTCAAGGCACTGTCGGGCCGCACGAAAGGTTCGAGCGACTAGCGACGCGCGACTCCGTACCCGGCCGGTTTCGCTCGTTTATTGTCCTGTCCGCAGCGTGATTGACCTTGTTAGCAGCACCCATTTCACTTTCCGGCGTCCCCAGATTCCGCTCCCCCATCAGTTCCCGCCTCCTCCCCCTCCCCCTTTCCCCTCCGTTTCAATCTCCCCTCCCTTTCCCCTCTCCCTCCCCCCCCGTTCTCCCCTCCTCCTGCCCCTTTCCGCCAAACTTCCGCCATTTAATTCCCCCCCCGTCCTTTTTCCCCTAAGCAGTATTCCTATTTTCACCCCAACCTTCCCTCCCTCACCCTTTTTCGTGCAAGCAGATATGGGAGAAGCTTATAACGAAGGTGAGAAAGGAGCATCCGTACTTCAACCGCACCAACGGCAAAGATCACTTCTCTTTCGGCACGCTTGATCACGGCCGTTGCCACTCGCTCACGTTCGTGGACCCGCGGGTGTATGGCGACATGTTTTTTGTAACCCTAAATGGCGACAAGCTGGTTCGCAGCATTCATTCCAGCCCTGGGCGAAACATGCAGGTAACTGCATACAGCTAGGTTTTTGTTTTTGTTGTTGTTTGTTTTGTTTTGTTTACTTTTCTTTTCCTCATATTACTTTTCATTCGCATAGCTCATATTTGTTTCTATTGCTTGCAAGAGAGACTTACAGAGGCGCCCGAATAACCACCTCACTCCCTGGGCGAACCGTGCAGGTCATTTCGTACAATTACGGCGCAAAGATCACGGATCCGACGGTCCCGGACATCCCGTGCTACGTGCCGAACCACGACATTGTCGTGCCGGCGCTGGTCGCGAATCGCCTGCCCATCGTGCCGCCCTTCGAGACGGAGCGTGAGATCAAGGTGCTGTTCCGGTTCGGCGCATCGCAGCACCACGGCGAGCCGCTGAAACACCACAACCGCAACATCCGGAAAGAGTTACACGAGGTGCGTGGTGGGTGGAGAGGGGAGGGGGGAAGGGGGGGGGAGGGAAGGGGAGTGGGGGACGGGGAAGGTGGGGTGGTGGGGGGAAGAAGAGAGGGAGGAGGGGAGAGGGGGAGGGGGGGGAGGAAAGCGAGGAGGGGGGGAGGGGGGTAAGGGGGAAGGGGAAGCGGGGGTGGGGGGAGTGGGGAGGGGGGAAGGGGAAGGTGGTTGGGGGAAGGGGGGTAGGGGGAGAGGGGAGGGGAGGGGATGACCTTTGAGTCGACTCAATAGCCCCTTGCTGCAACATCACAACCATGACATCCGGAAGGGGTTGTTAGAGGTGGGTGGGTGGAGGTGGAGGGGTGAGGGGGGAGGGAGAAGGAGAGGGAGAGGGAGTGGGGAGAGGGAGAGGGAGAGGGAGAGGGAGAGGAGCGAGAGGGGAGGGGGAAACGCGCATGCGAGGCCGATAAGGGCAATGCGTGGGATGGGAACAGGGCGCAGGGTAGGAGGGGTGAGGCTTGCCGGGGAAAGTGGGAGTGTGCGACGGATGAGGAGGACGAGGGAGAAAGGAAAGGTGGCGGCGGGTGTTACGGTGGTAACATCTGCATCCACTCTGGAGGCAGTGCGGGTGTTACGGTGGTAACATCTGCATCCACTCGGGAGGCAGTGCGGGTGTTACGGTGGTAACATCTGCATCCACTCTGGAGGCAGTGCGGGTGTTACGGTGGTAACATCTGCATCCACTCTGGAGGCAGTGCGGGTGTTACGGTGGTAACATCTGCATCCACTCTGGAGGCAGTGCGGGTGTTACGGTGGTAACATCTGCATCCACTCTGGAGGCAGTGCGGGTGTTACGGTGGTAACATCTGCATCCACTCTGGAGGCAGTGCGGGTGTTACGGTGGTAACATCTGCATCCACTCTGGAGGCAGTGCGGGTGTTATTGTGGTAACATCTGCATCCACTCTGGAGGCAGTGCAGGTGTTACGGTGGTAACATCTGCATCCACTCTGGAGGCAACCGTGGTGGCGGTGGTGACGGTGCGGGGCTTTAGAAAAACAAATCTGCATCCACTCATCCCCTCTTCCTTCCTTCCCCAATCCCCGCCCCCCTCTCTCCTCTCTCCTTCCCCGCCCCCCTCTCTCCTCTCTCCTTCCCCGCCCCCCTCTCTCCTCTCTCCTTCCCCGCCCCCCTCTCTCCTCTCTCCTTCCAGATGTACAAGGGCGCGGGGCACGAGGGGTGGGACTTTGCGGTGGGACGAGGGGTACGAGGGGTGGGACATGCGGAGAAGGGCGAGTATGAGACGGACGAGGAGTGGAAGAAGAGCGTCTTCTGCATCTGCCATTTTGGCTCCACCTCCTTCCCCCCTCTTTCCCCCTCTCCCCCCCCTGTCCCTCCACCTCTCTCCTCCCCCTGTCCCTCCACCTCTCTCCTCCCCTCTTTCCTCCCCTCTCCCCCACCCCCTTCTCTCCTCTCTCCATCCAGATGTACAAGGATGCAGGGCATGAGGGGTGGGACTTTGCGGAGAAGGGCGAGTATGAGACGGACGAGGAGTGGAAGAAGAGCATCTTCTGCATCTGCCCTCCCGGCCACTCCCAGTGGACCAGCCGCCCCTTCAAGGTGCGAGTTGATACTAGAGTTACTTACTAGAGTGGTGTTGCAATACAGTAATAAGAACGCAGTTGTTACTAGAATGGTGTGACGATGAGCTTGACCACTGGCTTCCATGTCCCCCACCCCATGTCACTCACCATGCCTCTCCCGCCCTCACTCAAACCCCCCTTCATTCCTCCCTTTCCTCGTTACCTTCTCTTTCTCCTCATCCTCTCACTCACCACATCCCCTCCCCCCCCCCCCCCCCCCCCCCACCACAGGCGCTCATCCCAGGGTGCATCCCAGAGGCCTTCTTTCTTTCTTCTTCCATGGGCACGACAACCCCGGGGGACGATGAGCTGGACTTATTGTTTCCGTGCTTTCCCCATGATGCTGCAGCATAGGGGACGATGAGCTGGACTTATTGTTTCCGTGCTTTCCCCCTGCCTCTCCCACCCACACGCATTCCCTTCTTTCCCTGCTTCCCTTCCCCTTATTCCTCCTTTCCCCCCACTTCCCTCTCCCCCCACTTCCCTCTCCCCCCACTTCCCTCTCCCCAAACCCCACAGGCGCTCATCTCAGGATGCATCCCAGTGACGTTCTTACGATCCAAGGTCATGACAATCCCTGGGACGATGAGCTCAACTTCTGGACGACCTCTTTCCGACTCCCCCCCTTTCCCCCAATCGCCTTCCCCCAACCCGTCCCCCACCCCACTCCAGGCGCTCATTCTCGGGTGCATCCCAGTGACGTCTTCCGAGGCCACGACAACCCCTGGGATGATGAGCTGGACTACTCTTCAGTCCCATGCTCCCCCATAAATTCCCCCCACCCCTTCCCTTTCCCCCACCCCTTCCCTTTCCCCCACCCCTTCCCTTTCCCCCACCCCTTCCCTTTCCCCCACCCCTTCCCTTTCCCCCACCCCTTCCCTTTCCCCACCCCTTCCCTTTCCCCCACCCCTTCCCTTTCCCCCACCCCTTCCCTTTCCCCACCCCTTCCCTTTCCCCCACCCCTTCCCTTTCCCCCCCACCCTTCCCTTTCCCCACCCCTTCCCTTTTCCCCCACCCCTTCCCTTTCCCCACCCCTTCCCTTTCCCCACCCCTTCCCTTTCCCCCACCCCTTCCCTTTCCCCCACCCCTTCCCTTTCCCCCACCCCTTCCCTTTCCCCCACCCCTTCCCTTTCCCCCACCCTTCCCTTTCCCCCACCCCTTCCCTTTCCCCCCACCCCTTCCCTTTCCCCCACCCCTTCCCTTTCCCCCACCCCTTCCCTTTCCCCCACCCCTTCCCCTTTCCCCCACCCCTTCCCTTTCCCCCACCCCTTCCCTTTCCCCCACCCCTTCCCTTTCCCCACCCCTTCCCTTTCCCCCACCCCTTCCCTTTCCCCCACCCCTTCCCTTTCCCCCACCCCTTCCCTTTCCCCCACCCCTTCCCTTTCCCCCACCCCTTCCCTTTCCCCCACCCCTTCCCTTTCCCCCACCCCTTCCCTTTCCCCCACCCCTTCCCTTTCCCCCACCCCTTCCCTTTCCCCCACCCCTTCCCTTTCCCCCACCCCTTCCCTTTCCCCCACCCCTTCCCTTTCCCCCACCCCTTCCCTTTCCCCCACCCCTTCCCTTTCCCCCACCCCACTCCAGGCGCTCATCTCGGGGTGCATCCCAGTGACGTTCTTCCGAGGCCACGACAACCCCTGGGATGATGAGCTGGACTACTCGACAGTCTCGGTCAACATTGACCCTGATGAGCTGCACACTCTCAAAGAGCGGTTGGATGCGGTTCCAGCGAAGAAGCTACAGCGGAACATTGAGCGAATTCAGGTGAGGAAAGGTCATGGTGGGTGGGTGGGTGGGTGGGTGGGTGGGTGGGTGGGTGGGAGGGTGGGTGGGTGGGTGGGAGGGTGGGTGGGTGGGTGGGTGGGTGGGTGGGTGGGTGGGTGAGGAGTCACAGCTACCCCTGGGATGATGAGCTGGACTGCTCTACTGTTTCAGTTAACATCGACTCCGACCAGCTGCACGCGTTGAAAGAGCGGTTGGATGCGGTTCCGATCAAGAAGCTACAGCGGAACATTGAGCAAATTCAGGTGAGATGATGGTCAACTGTCATGCTGGGTGGATGGGTACGAGTAGTCAACTGTCAACCACAACACGACAACCCCTGGGTGGATGGGTACGAGTAGTCAACTGTCAACCACAACACGACAACCCCTGGGTGGATGGGTACGAGTCAGTCAACTGTCAGCCACAACACGACAACCCCTGGGTGGATGGGTACGAGTCAGTCAACTGTCAGCCACAACACGACAACCCCTGGGTGGATGGGTACGAGTCAGTCAACTGTCAGCCACAACACGACAACCCCTGGGTGGGACGATGAGCTGGACTACTCCACCGTGTCGGTCATCATGGATCCCGGCGAGCTGCACACATTTAAGGAGAGGCTGGACGCTGTTCCCATCAAGAAGTTACAATGGAACATCGAGCACTTTCAGGCGAGCGATGTGTGGATGGGTACTTGCATGCATGAGGACAGGATGAGCTGGACTACTCCACCGTGTCGGTCATCATGGATCCCGGCGAGCTGCACACATTAAAGGAGAGGCTGGACGCTGTTCCCATCAAGAAGTTACAATGGAACATCGAGCAGTTTCAGGCGAGCGATGTGTGGATGGGTACTTGCATGCATGAGGATAGGATGAGCTTTGAGGCGCCTGAAACGCCATGCGTGGTGATAGCATGAGCTGGACTACTTTTGAGTCGACTCAAAAGCGTACTTGCATGCATGAGGACAGGATGAGCTGGACTACTCCACCGCGCTCAATTTGCTAGGTGTCTCGGATCCCTATGGGGTTCCGTGCTGATCAGATTGGGTATTTGGCGAGTCTTATGGGTTTTCAAGGGCGAGTGACTTGGTGCACGGCTGTTAGCTTCGCTCCACAAATCTCATGTCACAAAGCTCGTGTCACAAAGCTGGTGTCACAAAGCTCGTGTCACAAAGCTCGTGTCACAAAGCTCGTGTCTCGTATCTAGTGTTGAAATTGAACACTCCAGTCCATTTTCCCTCTTCACATTCCTCCCTCATCCTTATGTATTCTCCCTGAACAACAGGAGGCTTATCGGTGGACAGGGGTGTACAATAAAGGAGCAGAGGCCATGCTTATAAAGAGGCTGAGGCAACGAGGGCACCAGCTTCAAGCAGTGGAGCAGCGGAGATTACGGGCGTTGCAATGATGGTGATGATATGGTCAGGGCTGCAGTTAGTGCCTCAAAAGCCACTTCTGAGGCGCCTCAAAAGCAGCAGAGGGTATGGGACCCTGCAATAGGGACGACGAGGAGGAGGACAGGGCGGCTTGTGAGGCAAAAGCCACTTCCTAGGATAGGTGCCTCAGAAGTCACTCCTGATTCGCCTCAAAAGCAGCGGAGGGTACAGTCCCTGCGCTAAGGACAATGAGGACAAGAGGAGTTCAGGGCGGCTCATGAGACATCTCTTACCCATGATCTTATGAGGCAACAGCCACCTCTTACCGATGATCTCAACTTTTGTCACAACAGTGATAATTGCATGGTGTGGATCAGCAGAGTAAAAGGCTCTGGAATGATGGTGTGCTTTGCTGACATGAACGAACGGTGCCCCTTTGAAACATCCAAGTTTCAACATGGTACCATAAATTTAGATCGGTGCGGGTGCGAGCCCATTGGAAGTTGCGTGAATGCTGGGTAGAGAGGGAGACTCACAGCAGCAGAGCAGAGACGTCCCCACAGCAGCAGAGGAACTGGGCAGTATAGTATCATACATCCGTAATTCATATTGGCAGTGGTGTTCAGATCAGACTGAGTACCGGTATGCCAAGCTAGGATGAGAAGAGATTGGCCAAACATAATAACAATACTCTGTAAAGAAACAAAGAGTGTTGTTGTGTCAAGTTCTCAAAAACATACGGACAGAAGAGAGGTAATGTCAGGACTCTGGAGTACGCAACTGCCTCCCTACACACAGAAAGGAAAGGTAAGATAGTGATTCTCATCCCTATATATACACGTTACTATATATTTCATAAAAAACAGCTCACCTTAGTGTAACAGATAAATATTCGTTACCAAAGAAAGGAAATTCTTTTGTAAAATAAAAGAGCAGCTTCTACCATCCCTCATTTTCTATTGCAGGCACACCTGCTACAGGCGCCTTGCTATACGAAGAGGGAGGTAGAGGAGAGTTGCTTGCCTCGCTGCCGTAACCTCTTCATAAGCTCGTACTTTGCCCCTTGTGTGTGATTCCCCGACCACTTGAACATCCGCTGGCGGCATAAAGGGGTGAGAGAGGGAGGTGGGGACTCCACATGAGAGAAGATGAGAAGAGAGGATGTAAATGGGGGGTCACATGAGGGAAGATGAGAGAAGAGAGGATGTAAATGGGGGGTCACATGAGGGAAGATGAGAGAAGAGAAGATGTAAATGGGGGGTCACATGAGGGAAGATGAGAGAAGAGAGGATGTAAATGGGGGGTCACATGAGGGAAGATGAGAGAAGATAGGATGTAAATGGGGGGTCACATGAGTCGACTCAAAAGAAGGAGGATCCCAAGACCACGAAACCGCGTGTAATGAGTCTGCTTTTGAGGCGCCTCAAAAGAAGGTGGATCCCAAGACTCAAAAGAAGGTGGATCCCAAGACTCAAAAGAAGGTGGATCCCAAGACTCAAAAGAAGGTGGATCCCAAGACTCAAAAGAAGGTGGATCCCAAGACTCAAAAGAAGGTGGATCCCAAGACTCAAAAGAAGGTGGATCCCAAGACTCAAAAGAAGGTGGATCCCAAGACTCAAAAGAAGGTGGATCCCAAGACTCAAAAGAAGGTGGATCCCAAGACTCAAAAGAAGGTGGATCCCAAGACTCAAAAGAAGGTGGATCCCAAGACTCAAAAGAAGGTGGATCCCAAGACTCAAAAGAAGGTGGATCCCAAGACTCAAAAGAAGGTGGATCCCAAGACTCAAAAGAAGGTGGATCCCAAGACTCAAAAGAAGGTGGATCCCAAGACTCAAAAGAAGGTGGATCCCAAGACTCAAAAGAAGGTGGATCCCAAGACGATCTTTGAGGCGCCTCAAAAAAGCCAAGCTGTTATTTAGAAGCTGCTACTCTGTCCCTTGTGTATTGGGGGGCACACACCAACGATCACGTGCATCGCCACGGTTTCGAGTCGACTCAAATCACATGAGGGAAGGAAGACCTTAAGCCAACCTGTTATTTAGAAGCTGCTACACTGCCCCTTGTATATATATGCATTCGTAACCACTTGAACACCACCGCACTCCACCCATTTCACCGCACTTAGCACACCATTCCACCGCACTGCACCGATGCCAACCCACCTGCACCGTCTCCACGCCGCGTTGCAGCTGCTCCACAGGAGCGGTCTCTAGACGGGAGCGCAGAGAAGCAATGTCGTCGGGATCGATGTTGATGGAGAAGGAGGAGTAGTCCAGCTCATCGTCCCAGGGATTGTCGTGGTCTCGAAAGAACGTCACTGGGATGCACCCCGAGATGAGCGCCTGTGGGGTTGGGAGGAGAGGGGACAAGAGATGGGGGGAAGAGGGGGAATGGTTGGGGGAATATGAGGGTCCAGCTCATCGCCCCAGGGGTTGTCGTGGCCTTGGAAGAACGTACCTGTGATGCACCCAGAGATGAGCGCCTGTATGTTTGGTGGGGGGAGAGAGGACAGGAAGGAGTTTGCCACGTTCAAAGGCTGCAGTAATGACGAATTCGCACGCGCACGGTTCAGTCAGTAAGCAAACCTCAACCGGTAAAATGGTGAGACGCTCTAATGCTACTTCGTAGTTGGGTTTCAACTACTCTACGGTTGGGTTTCAACTACTCTACGGTTGGGTTTCAACTACTCTACGGTTGGGTTTCAACTACTCTACGGTTGGGTTTCAACTACTCTACGGTTGGGTTTCAACTACTCTACGGTTGGGTTTCAACTCCTCTACAGTTGGGTTCCAACTACTCTACAATTGGGTTGGGTTCCCATGACTGTAGCAATCCGAACCTTGAAGGGGCGGCTGGTCCACTGGGAGAGCCCACTGGGGGAGCCCACTGGGAGAGCCCACTGGGAGAGCCCACTGGGAGAGCCCACTGGGAGAGCCCACTGGGAGAGCCCACTGGGAGAGCCCACTGGGAGAGCCCACTGGGAGAGCCCACTGGGAGAGCCCACTGGGAGAGCCCATTAAGTTGACTTCGTTGACTTGATCATTGACTCTGATTGACCATCACAGCTGCGCACCTTGAAGGGGCGGCTGGTCCACTGGGAGTGGCCGGGCGGGCAGATGCAGAAGACAGCCATCTGCCACTCCTTGTTCGTCTGCCTCTCCCCCCTGGCTGCAAAGCTCCACCCTTTGATACGCTGCCGCCCGTACATCTGCGCGCAGGCGAGGGGGAGGGTAGGGGGGTGGGGGGGTTGGGGGGAAGGGGTGGTAGAGTGGGGGGTGAGTGCAAAGCTAAGCTCCACCCTTTGATGCACTGCCGCCCGTACATCCGCACACGGGAGGGGTGGTGGGTGTGGCCAGGTCCAGGGCGGTTGGTAGGTGTACGGCGGGGTTGAAGAGAGGAGACCCTTAAGCGGAATCTAGTGGGATTCATGTTGGTTGGTTGCACATGATGAGTCGATTTTTGGGTCGACTATGGGGAGACAATGACTCATCACACGCGGAATCTAGTAGTGGGATTTTGAGTCGACTCAAAAGCGACTATGAGGAGACAATGACTCATCACACGCGGAATCTAGTAGTGGGATCCATGTTGGTTGGTCGCACGCACATACTTTGCGCTGCGAAGCTCCACCAACCTCACCCCCGCACTTACACGGAGCAGCTCGGGGCGTAAGTAACAGCCCGTGGTGCATGAGAGGCGCCCTGTGGCTCTGGTAGGCAAGATATAATGGAGTGACTTTTGAGAATTCTCAAAAGTCACTCCATTATAGCCATTCACCACAACCCCCACTTCGCACCCGCCCTTCCCCTTTCCCCCACTCCCCTTCTCGCACATGCATGGAGCAGCTCGGGGCGTAAGTAACGGGCCGTGGTGCATGAGAGGCGCCCTGTGGCCCTGCTGGGCTGAGAAGCGGAAAGTCATCTGTCCCACCCCTCCTCCCCCACTCCATCCCACTCCCCCCCACTCCCCCTTCCTCACCAACCGCCCCCTACCCCCCAGACACTCTCCTAAACATGCACGGAGCAGCTCGGGGCGTAAGATATGGGCGTGGTGCGTGAGGGGCGCCCTGTGGCTCTGCTGCGTTGTGGCCCTGTGGCCCTGTGGCCCTGTGTGCGACGACCATTACCCACTTTCCCCACTCCCCCACTTTCCCCACTCCCCCACTTTCCCCACTCCCCCACTTTCCCCACTCCCCCACTTTCCCCACTCCCCCACTTTCCCCACTCCCCCACTTTCCCCACTCCCCCACTTTCCCCACACCCACCCACACACCCACCCACCCACCCCGCCCCTCACATACTTTGAGCAGCTCGGGGCGTAAGGAATGGCCGTGGTGCTTGAGAGGCGCCCTGTGGCTCGGCTGCGTTGAGAAGCGGAAGATGGCTCGCATGGGGCGATCGCCAGTGAAGGGCGACACCATGGGCAGCTGGAGTGGTGGGGGAAGGGGGGGGGAGAGGAGGAAGAGGAGAGGAGGTGTGAGGGGGAGTGGGGCACGGTAGCAACAAGGGGGAGAGAGAGTGAGAAGCGGAAGATGGCTCGCATGGGGCGATCGCCAGTGAAGGGTTGATTTTTGAGTCACCTAAAAATCGATTTATCACACACACTGCCAATGAAGGGTGACACCATGGTACCTGGAGGGGTGGTTGGTGTGTGTGGTGGGAGAGATAGAGTGAGAGAGAGGGATGTGCGGGCAGCATGGGACGGAATGGGCTGAGAGGTGGAAGATGGCTCGCATGGGACGGGCATGAGGGGCGTGGCATGAGGGGCGTGGCATGAGGGGCGTGGCGTGAGGGGCGTGGCATGAGGGGCGTGGCATGAGGGGCGTGGCATGAGGGGCGTGGCGTGAGGGGCGTGGCATGAGGGGCGTGGCGTGAGGGGCGTGGCATGAGGGGCGTGGCGTGAGGGGCGTGGCATGAGGGGCGTGGCGTGAGGGGCGTGGCATGAGGGGCGTGGCGTGAGGGGCGTGGCATGAGGGGCGTGGCATGAGGGGCGTGGCATGAGGGGCGTGGCGTGAGGGGCGTGGCGTGAGGGACAGGCGTGTAGCAGGGACTGTTGAGACGGGACTGTTGAGATGGAACTTTGAGGCGCCTAGATACAAGCCTCTCGCCTCAACAACCCACCTGGCCGCCAACAAAGGCTGGCACGACAATGTCACGGTCGGGCATGTAGCATGGAATGTCTGGGTACTGTGGCTGCAAGGTCATGTTGTAATTGTATCCTATGATCTGTGCATTCGGAGAAAAGGGGAAGGGAGGGGAGATGGGCATGGGAGTTGGGGAGGAGAGGTTGTGAAGGGTAGAGGGATCAGCCCATGTAGCCTGGAATGTGGGGGTACTGCGGCTGCAAGGTCATGTTGTATTTGTACCCTATGATTTGAGAGGAGAGAAGGGAATCAAGAAGTTGATTTCCATTGAGGAGAAACAATGGTATACACGGGATGCAAGGAAAGGAGGTGGTTGGAGCCAAATTGGAGTGCCCAACCACAACTGGTCACACAATGTGTTGGTTGGGTTGAAACAACAACAAGGGTTTATGGCTAAATGTGGATTGAGATTGAGCACCAATCTCCCCATCGCTTGTGTTGGTGGGTTCACCACAAAAGGGGGGATTCACACCTCAAACACAAATGGTAGGTGCAGAGGTGACTTTTGAGTCGACTCAAAAGTCACCTTGAGTCGACTCAAAAGTCAAAAGGGGGGATTCACACCTCAAACACAAATGGTAGGTGCAGGAGTAGCAGTGGACGAGTGGAAGGTGCAGTGCGGGCGTAGCAGTGGACGAGTGGAAGGTGCAGTGCGGGCGTAGCACTGGACGAGTGGAAGGTGCAGTGCGGGCGTAGCACTGGACGAGTGGAAGGTGCAGTGCGGGCGTAGCACTGGACGAGTGGAAGGTGCAGTGCGGGCGTAGCACTGGACGAGTGGAAGGTGCAGTGCGGGCGTAGCACTGGACGAGTGGAAGGTGCAGTGCGGGCGTAGCACTGGACGAGTGGAAGGTGCAGTGCGGGCGTAGCACTGGACGAGTGGAAGGTGCAGTGCGGGCGTAGCAGTGGACGAGTGGAAGGTGCAGTGCGGGCGTAGCAGTGGACGAGTGGAAGGTGCAGTGCGGGCGTAGCAGTGGACGAGTGGAAGGTGCAGTGCGGGCGTAGCAGTGGACGAGTGGAAGGTGCAGTGCGGGCGTAGCAGTGGACGAGTGGAAGGTGCAGTGCGGGCGTAGCAGTGGACGAGTGGAAGGTGCAGTGCGGGCGTAGCAGTGGACGAGTGGAAGGTGCAGTGCGGGCGTAGCAGTGGACGAGTGGAAGGTGCAGTGCGGGCGTAGCACTGGACGAGTGGAAGGTGCAGTGCGGGCGTAGCACTGGACGAGTGGAAGGTGCAGTGCGGGCGTAGCACTGGACGAGTGGAAGGTGCAGTGCGGGCGTAGCACTGGACGAGTGGAAGGTGCAGTGCGGGCGTAGCAGTGGACGAGTGGAAGGTGCAGTGCGGGCGTAGCACTGGACGAGTGGAAGGTGCAGTGCGGGCGTAGCACTGGACGAGTGGAAGGTGCAGTGCGGGCGTAGCAGTGGACGAGTGGAAGGTGCAGTGCGGGCGTAGCAGTGGACGAGTGGAAGGTGCAGTGCAGGCGTAGCACTGGACGAGTGGAAGGTGCAGTGCGGGCGTAGCAGTGGACGAGTGGAAGGTGCAGTGCGGGCGTAGCAGTGGACGAGTGGAAGGTGCAGTGCGGGCGTAGCAGTGGACGAGTGGAAGGTGCAGTGCGGGCGTAGCAGTGGACGAGTGGAAGGTGCAGTGCGGGCGTAGCAGTGGACGAGTGGAAGGTGCAGTGCGGGCGTAGCAGTGGACAAGTGGAAGGTGCAGTGCGGGCGTAGCACTGGACGAGTGGAAGGTGCAGTGCGGGCGTAGCACTGGACGAGTGGAAGGTGCAGTGCGGGCGTAGCACTGGACGAGTGGAAGGTGCAGTGCGGGCGTAGCAGTGGACGAGTGGAAGGTGCAGTGCGGGCGTAGCACTGGACGAGTGGAAGGTGCAGTGCGGGCGTAGCAGTGGACGAGTGGAAGGTGCAGTGCGGGCGTAGCACTGGACGAGTGGAAGGTGCAGTGCGGGCGTAGCAGTGGACGAGTGGAAGGTGCAGTGCGGGCGTAGCAGTGGACGAGTGGAAGGTGCAGTGCGGGCGTAGCAGTGGACGAGTGGAAGGTGCAGTGCAGGCGTAGCACTGGACGAGTGGAAGGTGCAGTGCGGGCGTAGCAGTGGACGAGTGGAAGGTGCAGTGCGGGCGTAGCACTGGACGAGTGGAAGGTGCAGTGCGGGCGTAGCACTGGACGAGTGGAAGGTGCAGTGCGGGCGTAGCACTGGACGAGTGGAAGGTGCAGTGCGGGCGTAGCAGTGGACGAGTGGAAGGTGCAGTGCGGGCGTAGCACTGGACGAGTGGAAGGTGCAGTGCAGGCGTAGCACTGGACGAGTGGAAGGTGCAGTGCGGGCGTAGCAGTGGACGAGTGGAAGGTGCAGTGCGGGCGTAGCACTGGACGAGTGGAAGGTGCAGTGCGGGCGTAGCACTGGACGAGTGGAAGGTGCAGTGCGGGCGTAGCAGTGGACGAGTGGAAGGTGCAGTGCGGGCGTAGCACTGGACGAGTGGAAGGTGCAGTGCGGGCGTAGCAGTGGACGAGTGGAAGGTGCAGTGCGGGCGTAGCACTGGACGAGTGGAAGGTGCAGTGCAGGCGTAGCACTGGACGAGTGGAAGGTGCAGTGCGGGCGTAGCAGTGGACGAGTGGAAGGTGCAGTGCGGGCGTAGCAGTGGACGAGTGGAAGGTGCAGTGCGGGCGTAGCAGTGGACAAGTGGAAGGTGCAGTGCGGGCGTAGCAGTGGACGAGTGGAAGGTGCAGTGCGGGCGTAGCACTGGACGAGTGGAAGGTGCAGTGCGGGCTCAAGGCGGTCCCCGTTGAGCACTGCAGTCCATCTTCCTACAGGTTCCTCTCCTCTCCCTACCTGCAGGTTTCTCTTGACAGAAGCGTGCATGGTGCGCCGCGCGTGCAAGGCGGTCCCCGTTGAGCACGATAAAAAACATCTCGCACCTGTCCACTGCTCCCTTCCTACCAGCTTCCATCCCTACCTGCATGTTCCTCTTCTTAGAGGAGTGGATGGTGCGTGCAAGGCGGTCCCCATTAAGCACGATAAAGAACATCTCGCCGTACAAATCCGGGTTGACCCACGGCAACGCGAGGCAACGGCCGTGATCGAACGTGCTCGTGCCGAAGTGATCTCGGCCGTTGGTGCGGTTGAAGTAGGGGTAATCGCGGCGAATCATGGTGAGAATGTCGTGCCACGCCTGGATGGGATGTGGGGAGAGGGCGAGAGGGTAAGAGGGCGAGAGGGTAGAGGGGGAGAGGGGGAGAGGGCAAGATGGCAAGAGAGGGGAAACACGTTTGACGGGAAGTCGCATCCCAAAGTAGTCTGGGTCTCCTATATATTTATAAAAAATTGATAGATTGCACCTACTATGCAACATAGGATAAATATAATGATGCAAACCTATAAGTACATGGTACGAGACCCTCCCATTCTTGTGACTCAATATACGCAAACTCACGAACGCATCTTTGTAACCTCCACGGCGACCTTACGCGTCATGTTCTTCATATGCCTGTTCACAAGCATGATGTGGTTCGACTCGATATAAGCAGACTCGCGAACGCACCTTAGGGACTTCCTCGACCTAAGTATGCATCATGTTCTTCATCAGCTTGTTCACATAGGAGATTCGGTTCGAGAGTAGTAGGGCACAAGCAGACTCGATATAAACAGACTCGCAACTCACCTTAGAAACTTCCTCGGCAGACTTATCCTGTTTTTCTCATTCTTGTTCACATGCGCGATGTGGTTCGACGAATAGTACAGTAACGGACTCGATATAAGCAGACTCGCAACTCACCTTGGACACTTCCCCGGCAGACTTATCCATCATGTTTTTCTCATTCTTGTTCACATGCGCGATGTGGTTCGACGAATAGTACGGGATGTAAAACAGCGTCGCCTTTTCAGGATCCGTCGTGCGAATCGCGTTAGAACGCAGAAGAAGCTCCGTTAGTACCGACTCCACCTCGTATTGGTCAGAAAACCACTCCTTGGGGCGGCCCTTCATCCCCTCCGTCCACTCCGATTGCGTGTCGTACACGTAAATAAACGGACGGTTGCTATCGTTGTCGTCAGCTGACGCGGCGTCTTTACTGGCCCCGGCACCGGCGCCGTCGTCCCCGCCCCCGGAAAACGCGGAGACGGATCCGATCGTCGCTGCAGGAAGGAGCTGCGAGTCTCCCGCAGCGGGAACGGCGGCGGCGGAGGTGGGGGAAGGTCCACGGGATTCTAAATCCCGTCTTGCGTTAGCAAGGTCTCCAGAAAGATACGAGGCGGAAGCGGTGACGACGGCGGCGGTGGCGGCGGCGGCGGCGGTAGTCAGCTCGGGATTCTCTAGGTTCCTACAGAAGCAATCTTGCGATTGCATGTACGAACTGCTACTTAAAAGTGCTATCAATATGAACGACGCGACGGCCACATAGGCGAAGTGGATGGGAAAGCGCTTCGGATTTAACATCTGCTGCATCTTTGCGGCCTGTACTCCGATTTTAGAGACGTCCAGAACTAGCATCTTCCTCGAGAACATGATGCGGTCCGGAAATCGTGAAGGCGGTCTGTCAAGCCTGAAAAAGCGGATTAGGGAAGATTAGGTTTTGAGGGTGCCTTAAAAGAAAGGCCTACTCTGAAATTCGTCCACCTTCGCTGACGTCGCTCATGCTGATCCTGGTAATGTATCGCGGATGTCGCAGATTTCGCTGCTGTTGCAGCTGCACTAATGCACTTGTAGTGCACCACTGTATACAGTGATTGCTGCTCAACCCAGCCAATGGGGAATGCCTCGACGACTCTAGTCTAGCGTGCTCTGATGCACTTGTGGTTCACTGATGCACTAATGAGTGCAGTGCAATATTCACTCCCAGCTGATGCAGCCTCGGCGCGAGCGAGCAGCCAGCGTTGAGAAAAGCAGCCCACATGGTTTTGCTTCGGGAGGAGGTGGCTCGGTGACACACTTGGCGGTATGGTTGGGGAGCTTTCAACCTATACAGATGATGCTCACCCCCTGTACGCGAATTTGATTGTACCAGATGAAAACATTGCACCCGTGTGTTTTGTGCCATGAAGTTGCCCCCCGTTTACAAGCCCCTCGAGAAAGCTGCAGTGAAATGAGCCAATACTAACCATAGAAACCGAAGTTTGACTGAAGAGACTGAAGTCAAACGGTAATCATTGAGTTACAATTGCATTCAATAAGCCCTTTTTGGTAGGTGCGAATAGACGAATCTGTGCGAAGTTCCAAAGTTATTTATAAGCCCATAGCACAAGGCGAAGTTGAAGTTAATTATAGGCCCATAGACAAGGCGAAGCTGGGTGCGCCAAACGAGCATTAACAGTACTTTAACCGTCAAGATACTTTCGCAGATGCTGACAAGGCGTTCGGTGGTGGCCGCCTGGCAGCGAAGTGAAGCTTCGAAGAATTCGTGTCGTGCTGTTTGTATGAGCAGCGGCGGCTCACGTTGACTTAGCTGCTGCTAACAAGACAAACTGTCTGTTTACAGTTGCAACAAAGAGACGTTGGAGTCAGGCGAATCTGGAAGTCACGGGCGAATTTGGAAGTTCGGCAGCAGCCATCCACACACGACATCGGATCGGCCTTGGTGAAGGTCCCCTTATCGCGTCTAGACGATAAGCAATCGCATTTAGGAAGTGTTTACTGTACTGTATTGTAAAATTCTGAGAATCAAACTTTCAGGTAACACTGTTCAGTGTGGATGTCGCCAATGAACATCAAATGTTTTTATGGGGGGCTCAAACTGTAGCTTCTCTTTGCATTCATTAGGAGGGGTCTGTATCCCTGGTAACCCTTTTAAGCTGTTTTGCACATAATTTCAGAAGGTTCACAATACATGGATAAGAAACTACTACAAAACAGGGTATTGACAGCTTATAATCGACAAATGTACCATCTCGCCTTTCCCTGGTGATAAGCCCCGAGGCTTGTCCCATTGGGGTGGGGGGATCCTATCCAGGGGAGTAACGGTACACTACTAAGATAATCCCTCTTTCTTATTCGCCTCCACAGGCAGCAGAGCACACTGTACACTTTCGCGGCGCTTTGTTCTGCTATCCTGAATGCTCATTCGACACATTTTTCTTAGACTCCAGAGGCAGGACAATCTGCACTTACAGCTGCTGCATCTCCTTGTTGCCGCTGCTGGTGCAATCCTCCTCAGCCTGCTCATGAGCACCACCACCCTGTTCACCACCCCTATCCTCCGCGTGACTTGAAGTAGACTAAAAACGCATCATGCTGCCGTGATCCGTGCCGCTGCTGCTGCTCCAATCCTCCTCAGCCTGCTCATGAGCACCGCCCCTGCCCCCTGGTCCAAGGAATCATGCCACTTGAACATGTCCTGTGGCAAGAACGTGCAGAGAAGGGAGAATAGGAGTGAGGAGTGGTGAGCTGCTATTGCACCACTGCTTGAAGAAGTGTTTTGAGACGTCTCAAAACACTTCTTCAGGAGTGAGGAGTGGTGAGCTGCTATTGCACCACTGCTTGAAGAAGTGTTTTGAGACGTCTCAAAACACTTCTTCAGGAGTGAGGAGTGGTGAGCTGCTATTGCACCACTGCTTGAAGAAGTGTTTTGAGACGTCTCAAAACACTTCTTCAGGAGTGAGGAGTGGTGAGCTGCTATTGCGCCACTGCTCCAATCCTCCTCAGCCTGCTCATGAGCACCGCCCCTGCTCATGGGGAACACGGAAAGGGGAATGAGCACCGCCCCTGCCCCCTGGTCCAGGGACCCATGCCACTTGAACATGTCCTGTGGCACGAGCACAAGGGGAGGGAGTGGGGAGTGGGGGTTGGGGAGCAGGGAGTAGTTGTTGTGGTGAGAATAAATACAGCAGAACTGCCCGTGCCCCCTGGTCCAGGGACTCATGCCGCCTGAACATGTCCTGTTGGATGGGCATGGCTGCAGGGGAGTGGGGGAGAGTGGGGAGAGAGTTTGGGGTGGGGAGTGGGGAGTGAAGAGGGTGGGTAAGGGGGAGCGAGGAATGAGCGGGGAGGGGGGAGTCGGGAGAAATGGGTAAAGGTGTGTGGTGAGCGGGGAGTGAATGTATGAGGTGAGGGTACAAACCAACCAACTCTGTGACGTTTGAGTGGACTCAAAAAGTACCTCGAAATGGTTAGAGGTGAGCGGGGAGTGAATGTATGAGGTGAGGGTACAAACCAACCAACTCTGCACTCTGGTCCACGGACTCTTGCCATTCAAAAATATCCAGTCCCACCTGCCCCAGCCTCACCTACCCCAGCGCCCCAGTCCCACCTGCCCCAGTCCCACCTGCTCCAGTCCCACCTGCACTAGTCCCACCTGCCCCAGTCCCACCTGCACTAGTCCCACCTGCGCCAGTCCCACCTGCGCCAGTCCCACCTGCGCCAGTCCCACCTGCACCAGTCCCACCTGCGCCAGTCCCACCTGCGCCAGTCTCACCTGCCCCAGTCTCACCTGCCCCAGTCCCACCTGCCCCAGTCCCACCTGCCCCAGTCCCACCTGCCCCAGTCCCACCTGCCACTGAGGGGGGAGAGGCGGCTGAGGGGGGAGAGGCGGCTGAGGGGGGAGAGGCGGCCGCGGGGGCAGCACTCTCCACTCTCACCTTTCCCAGTCCCACCCACCTCAGTGCCCACCTGCACGAGCCTCACCTGCACTCCCACCCACCCCAGTGCCCACCTGCACGAGCCCCAGGTTGTGCTGCAGCCGCTCCACGAGCCCCGGCTGGTCAAACACGTCCTGCAGCCTGCGGGGGAGCGAGTGGAGATCCGCCGGGTCGACGTTGAGCGAGAAGAGCGGGTAGTTGAGAGAGGAGGGGGCGGTGGGTGCGGCAGAGGCAGGGGCAGTGGCAGTGGCGGATGATGGTGCTGCTTTTTGGTGGTGGAGGGATGCAGCCCAGGGGTTGTCGTTGGCACGGAGGAACGTCACTGGGATACAGCCTGAGAGGATTGCCTGGGCGGGTGAGGGAGGGAGGGAGGGAGGGAGGGAGGGAGGGAGGGAGGGAGGGAGGGATGGAGGGGGGGAGGGAGGGAGCGAGGGAGGGAGGGAGGGTGAGATTGTTGGGATGGAAGAATGTCACGGGAGTGGGAAGTAGGGAGTGGGGAGTTGGAAGTGGGGAGTGGGGAGGGAGGAGTGGGGAGGGGGAGTGGGGATGATGAGAGACAAACCCACTTGGTGAGCTGGACAGTCCATTGTGCCCCACCGGGGG